AAGATGCCCAAGGTGAAAATGCCCAAGTTCAGCATGCCAGGCTTTAAAGGCGAGGGTCCAGAAGTGGATGTGAACCTGCCCAAGGCTGATGTTGATGTGGCTGGACCCAAGGTGGACATTGTAGGCCCTGATGTTAACATTGAGGGACCAGAGGGAAAGTTGAAAGGTCCCAAGTTCAAGATGCCTGAGATGAACATCAAAGCCCCCAAGATCTCCATGCCTGACATTGATCTTAACCTGAAGGGCCCTAAAGTGAAGGGTGATGTGGATGTGTCTTTACCAAAAGTGGAAGGTGAGATTAAAGTTCCTGAAGTAGATATTAAAGGCCCTAAAGTGGACGTTGATGTCCCAGATGTGGATGTGCATGGCCCAGACTGGCACCTGAAGATGCCCAAGATAAAAATGCCCAAGATCAGCATGCCAGGCTTTAAAGGAGAGGGCCCAGAAGTGGATGTGAACCTGCCCAAGGCTGACATTGATGTCTCTGGACCCAAGGTGGATATTGATGTTCCAGATGTCAATATTGAAGGTCCAGATGCGAAACTGAAGGGCCCCAAATTCAAGAGGCCAGACATGAACATCAAAGCTCCCAAGATCTCCATGCCTGATTTGGACATTAATCTCAAAGGCCCTAAAATGAAAGGAGAGGCGGATGTTTCCCTTCCAAACGTAGAAGGTGATTTGAAAGGACCTACTCTTGACATCAAGGGCCCAAAGATAGATGTAGATGCTCCAGATATTGACATCCATGGCCCTGAAGGCAAATTAAAAGGTCCCAAACTGAAGATGCCAGACATGCATGTGAACATGCCTAAGATCTCCATGCCTGAAATTGACCTGAATTTGAAAGGCCCAAAGCTTAAGGGAGATGTTGATGTTTCTGGGCCCAAATTAGAAGGTGACATTAAAGCTCCCAAGTTGGATGTAAAGGGTCCAGAAGTGGACATTTCTGGTCCTAAGCTCAGTCTTGAAGGCAAGTCAAAGAAATCACGTTTTAAGCTTCCTAAGTTTAATTTTTATTGATCTTAACCTGAAGGGCCCTAAAGTGAAGGGTGATGTGGATGTGTCTTTACCAAAAGTGGAAGGTGAGATTAAAGTTCCTGAAGTAGATATTAAAGGCCCTAAAGTGGACGTTGATGTCCCAGATGTGGATGTGCATGGCCCAGACTGGCACCTGAAGATGCCCAAGATAAAAATGCCCAAGATCAGCATGCCAGGCTTTAAAGGAGAGGGCCCAGAAGTGGATGTGAACCTGCCCAAGGCTGACATTGATGTCTCTGGACCCAAGGTGGATATTGATGTTCCAGATGTCAATATTGAAGGTCCAGATGCGAAACTGAAGGGCCCCAAATTCAAGAGGCCAGACATGAACATCAAAGCTCCCAAGATCTCCATGCCTGATTTGGACATTAATCTCAAAGGCCCTAAAATGAAAGGAGAGGCGGATGTTTCCCTTCCAAACGTAGAAGGTGATTTGAAAGGACCTACTCTTGACATCAAGGGCCCAAAGATAGATGTAGATGCTCCAGATATTGACATCCATGGCCCTGAAGGCAAATTAAAAGGTCCCAAACTGAAGATGCCAGACATGCATGTGAACATGCCTAAGATCTCCATGCCTGAAATTGACCTGAATTTGAAAGGCCCAAAGCTTAAGGGAGATGTTGATGTTTCTGGGCCCAAATTAGAAGGTGACATTAAAGCTCCCAAGTTGGATGTAAAGGGTCCAGAAGTGGACATTTCTGGTCCTAAGCTCAGTCTTGAAGGCAAGTCAAAGAAATCACGTTTTAAGCTTCCTAAGTTTAATTTTTCGGGCTCCAAAGTTCAGACACCTGAGGTGGATGCCAAAGTTAAAAAGCCGGATATTGATGTGACAGGTCCAAAAGTTGATATTAATGCTCCTGATGTTGAGGTCCAAGGAAAAGTGAAAGGATCCAAGTTCAAAATGCCTTTCCTGAGTATTTCATCTCCTAAAGTTTCTATGCCTGATGTGGAGTTAAATCTGAAAGGCCCTAAAGTCAAAGGAGACTTGGATGTTACAGCTCCTAATTTAGAAGGTGACTTGAAAGGACCCAAAGTGGATATTAAGGCCCCAGAAGTTCATCTTGATGCAGCCGATGTGGATGTGCATGGTCCAGAGTGGAACTTGAAAATGCCCAAAATGAAAATGCCCAAGTTTGGTGTGCCTGGCTTAAAAGCAGAAGGGCCAGAAATGGCTGTGGATCTGCCCAAAGGAGAGATCAACATAGAGGGTCCCAGAATGGACATTGAGGGCCCAGAAATCAATGTGGAAGGTGTAGAAGGAGGCTTAAAAGGTCCCAAACTCAAGATGCCTGACATGAATATCAAAACTCCCAAGATCTCCATGCCTGACATTGATTTAAACCTGAAGGGCCCCAAGGTGAAAGGTGATATTGATGTTTCTCTGCCCAAAGTTGAAGGGGATCTGAAAGGGCCAGAGATCGATATCAGAGGCCCTAAAGTGGACGTTGATGTCCCTGACGTGGATGTGCATGGCCCAGACTGGCACCTGAAAATGCCCAAGGTGAAAATGCCCAAGTTTAGCATGCCAGGTTTCAAAGGTGAGGGCCCAGACGTGGATGTTACTCTCCCTAAGGCTGACATTGATATTTCTGGCCCCAAAGTGGACATTGATGCCCCAGATGTGAATATTGAAGGTCCAGATGCAAAACTGAAGGGCCCCAAGTTCAAGATGCCTGAGATGAACATCAAAGCTCCCAAAATCTCCATGCCTGACTTTGATCTGAACTTAAAGGGCCCCAAAATGAAAGGTGATGTGGATATGTCTTTGCCAAAAGTAGAAGGTGACTTAAAGGGCCCTGAGGTGGACATCAAGGGCCCCAAATTGGACATTGACACTCCTGATATTAACATTGAAGGCCCAGAGGGAAAATTGAAGGGGCCCAAATTCAAGATGCCAGAGATGCACCTAAAGACTCCAAAGATTTCCATGCCTGACATTGATTTAAACCTGAAGGGCCCCAAGGTGAAGGGTGATGTGGACGTTTCCCTTCCCAAGTTTGAAGGGGATCTGAAAGGCCCTGAAGTGGACCTCAAAGGTCCCAAGGTGGACATTGATGCCCCTGATGTGGATGTTCATGGACCAGACTGGCACCTAAAAATGCCCAAGATAAAAATGCCCAAGATCAGCATGCCAGGCTTCAAAGGAGAGGGCCCAGATGTGGACGTGAACCTGCCCAAGGCCGACATTGATGTATCAGCACCCAAGGTGGACATCGAAGGCCCTGATGTTAACATTGAGGGACCAGAGGGAAAGTTGAAAGGTCC